CAATGTCAATAGAAGCAGTGGTTCCGACTACAGTGATACTGGTGTTTCCTACAACCACACATCCAGACCCATGACCGACTACAGTGATGCTGGTGTTTCCTACAACCACACACTCACCCCATGTCCGACTACAGTGATGCTGGTGTTTCCTACAACCACACACTCACCCCATGTCCGACTACAGTGATGCTGGTGTTTCCTTCAACCACACATTCACCCCATGTCCGACTACAGTGATGCTGGTGTTTCCTACAACCACACATCCAGACCCATGACCGACTACAGTGATGCTGGTGTTTCCTACAACCACACACACACCCCATGTCCGACTACAGTGATGCTGGTGTTTCCTACAACCACACATCCACCCCATGTCCGACTACAGTGAAGCTGGTGTTTCCTACAACCACACACTCACCCCATGTCCGACTACAGTGATGCTGGTGTTTCCTACAACCACACATCCAGACCCATGACCGACTACAGTGATGCTGGTGTTTCCTACAACCACACACTCACCCCATGTCCGACTACAGTGATGCTGGTGTTTCCTACAACCACACATCCACCCCATGTCCGACTACAGTGATGCTGGTGTTTCCTACAACCACACACTCACCCCATGTCCGACTAGCGTGATGCTGGTGTTTCCTACAACCACACACTCACCCCATGTCCGACTACAGTGATGCTGGTGTTTCCTACAACCACACATTCCCCCCATGTCCGACTACAGTGATGCTGGTGTTTCCTACAACCATACACTCACCCCATGTCCGACTACAGTGATGCTGGTGTTTCCTACAACCACACATTCCCCCCATGTCCGACTACAGTGATGCTGGTGTTTCCTACAACCACACATCCAGACCCATGACCGACTACAGTGATGCTGGTGTTTCCTACAACCACACATTCACCCCATGTCCGACTACAGTGATACTGGTGTTTCCTACAACCACACATTTCCCCCATGTCCGACTACAGTGATGCTGGTGTTTCCTACAACCACACATCCACCCCATGTCCGACTACAGTGATGCTGGTGTTTCCTACAACCACACATTCACCCCATGTCCGACTACAGTGATGCTGGTGTTTCCTACAACCACACATTCACCCCATGTCCGACTACAGTGATGCTGGTGTTTCCTACGACCACACATTCCCCCCATGTCCGACTACAGTGATGCTGGTGTTTCCTACAACCACACATTCACCCCATGTCCGACTACAGTGATACTGGTGTTTCCTACAACCACACATCCACCCCATGTCCGACTACAGTGATGCTGGTGTTTCCTACAACCACACATTCACCCCATGTCCGACTACAGTGATGCTGGTGTTTCCTACAACCACACATCCAGACCCATGACCGACTACAGTGATGCTGGTGTTTCCTACAACCACACATTCCCCCCATGTCCGACTACAGTGATGCTGGTGCTTCCTACAACCACACATCCACCCCATGTCCGACTACAGTGATACTGGTGTTTCCTACAACCACACATTCCCCCCATGTCCGACTACAGTGATGCTGGTGTTTCCTACAACCACACACTTCCCCCATGTCCGACTACAGTGATGCTGGTGTTTCCTACAACCACACATCCACCCCATGTCCGACTACAGTGATGCTGGTGTTTCCTACAACCACACATTCACCCCCTGTCCGACTACAGTGATACTGGTGTTTCCTACAACCACACATTCACCCCATGTCCGACTACAGTGATACTGGTGTTTCCTACAACCACACATTCACCCCATGTCCGACTACAGTGATACTGGTGTTTCCTACAACCACACATTCACCCCATGTCCGACTACAGTGATGCTGGTGTTTCCTACAACCACACACTCACCCCATGTCCGACTACAGTGATGCTGGTGTTTCCTACAACCACATATTCCCCCCATGTCCGACTACAGTGATGCTGGTGTTTCCTACAACCACACACTCACCCCATGTCCGACTACAGTGATACTGGTGTTTCCTACAACCACACATTTCCCCCCATGTCCGACTACAGTGATGCTGGTGTTTCCTACAACCACACATCCACCCCATGTCCGACTACAGTGATGCTGGTGTTTCCTACAACCACACATCCACCCCATGTCCGACTACAGTGATGCTGGTGTTTCCTACAACCACACATTTCCCCCATGTCCGACTACAGTGATACTGGTGTTTCCTACAACCACACACTCACCCCATGTCCGACTACAGTGATACTGGTGTTTCCTACAACCACACATTCACCCCATGTCCGACTACAGTGATGCTGGTGTTTCCTACAACCACACACTTCCCCCATGTCTGACTACAGTGATGCTGGTGTTTCCTACAACCACACACTCACCCCATATCCGACTACAGTGATGCTGGTGTTTCCTACAACCACACACTTCCCCCATGTCCGACTACAGTGATGCTGGTGTTTCCTACAACCACACATTCCCCCCATGTCCGACTACAGTGATACTGGTGTTTCCTACAACCACACATTCACCCCATGTCCGACTACAGTGATGCTGGTGTTTCCTACAACCACACACTTCCCCCATGTCCGACTACAGTGATGCTGGTGTTTCCTACAACCACACACTCACCCCATATCCGACTACAGTGATGCTGGTGTTTCCTACAACCACACATTCACCCCATGTCCGACTACAGTGATGCTGGTGTTTCCTACAACCACACATTCACCCCATGTCCGACTACAGTGATGCTGGTGTTTCCTACAACCACACATCCAAACCCATGTCCGACTACAGTGATGCTGGTGTTTCCTACAACCACACATTCACCCCATGTCCGACTACAGTGATGCTGGTGTTTCCTACAACCACACATTCACCCCATGTCCGACTACAGTGATACTGGTGTTTCCTACAACCACACATTCACCCCATGTCCGACTACAGTGATGCTGGTGTTTCCTACAACCACACATTCACCCCATGTCCGACTACAGTGATACTGGTGTTTCCTACAACCACACATTCCCCCCATGTCCGACTACAGTGATGCTGGTGTTTCCTACAAACACACATTCACCCCATGTCCGACTACAGTGATACTGGTGTTTCCTACAACCACACATTCCCCCCCATGTCCGACTACAGTGATGCTGGTGTTTCCTACAACCACACACTTCCCCCATATCCGACTACAGTGATACTGGTGTTTCCTACAACCACACATTTCCCCCATGTCCGACTACAGTGATGCTGGTGTTTCCTACAACCACACATTTCCCCCATGTCCGGCTACAGTGATGCTGGTGTTTCCTACAACCACACATTCCCCCCCATGTTCGACTACAGTGATGCTGGTGTTTCCTACAACCACACATCCCCCCCATGTCACATAGATGCAGCAGCTAAAGTCACCCTCTTTTCAGCTCTGAATATAAGACTTGAGAGTTCCTTAATACCGGAGAGTTCGCTGATATAATTATTTTCATGTACCCTAATATATAAAAAAAATTTCGTGGACTATATGTTAGTCGTCAGTGATACATAGCACAGTAGGGTATATAGGTAATGCTATACGGTTATAACGAACCAAAATATACCACTAAGTTAAGTTCGTTTTAACCGTAGTTCGTTATAAGCATATATCCAGCACATATAAAGCAAATGGCCGGGACAAAAATAAACAACAGTTGGTACACACAATCGCATGTTTGATTTGATGACACTGCGAACTAAACACATTTTCTCTGCTCGCCCCGTCTTTGTACATGAACAGGGTTTAAGAGAATGTTGTTTGTATACAGTGTGTCCCGAGGCCTAATGTTCCACTGATGGTGTCATCCTTCAACATAAGCCCAGGTCAGTGTGATGTAACAGCGCCACGGCCCCACCCACCTCTAGTCCACCTCATGGTCTTTTACGTGTTTGTTAGGGAATCATAGCAAAATCGTATTATTCCATGTCGCAATACATTTTCAGGGCGTATGTTATGAGTCTTTAGCTGACACACGTTACCATGACGACATGGGAGTATTTGTAACTGATGATTGAAGTGATGTAGTAACGCAAGTCACTTGTCACGTGACTGTCAACGTCATGTCCCGTTTTCCTGTTTGTTCTGTCACGGAGAATTTTACTGTCACAGACATCTCCACTGTCACAGACAACACTACTGTCACAGACACCTCTACTATCACAGACACCTCTACTGTCATAGACAACTCCACTGTCACAGACAACTTTACTGTCACAGATACCTCTATTTTCACAAACAACTCTATTGTCACGGACAACTTTACTGTCACAGACACCTCTGCTGTCACAAACAACTCCACTGTCACAGACACCTCTACTGTCACAGACATCTCTGCTGTCACAAACAACTCCACTATCACAGACACCTCTACTGTCATAGACAACTCTACTGTCACAGACACCTCTACTGTCACAAACAACTGTCTGTGATAGTAGAGTTGTCTGTGACAATAGAGGTGTCTGTGACAGTAGATGTGTCTGTGACAGTAGAGTTGTCTGTGACAGTAGAGGTGTCTGTGACAGATGTGTCTGTGATACCTCTACTGTCACAGATACCTCTACTGTCACAGACACCTCTACTGTCACAGACACCTCTAATGTCAGGCATCTCTGCTGCTATGCCCGTGTGTCACACCGTCATCGAATGATTGACGGAGATTAATATATTTCTTAATTAACTAGAAGTTCATTAACTAAAGTTTTCAAATGCAAAGCGTTCTTGAGTGTTGATTCATATTTTGTTTTTGTTTTTCGCACCCGTAGCGATGGAATTACATAACGCAATCCTTTTTCATCAAATGTGGATGCATGAGCACCGACTGATAAACGCAGTTTGAGTGACAAGTAGTGTTCTATCCATCACGATGTCTCTCAGCATTTCCATACCATATCGACGTGTTGTCTGACGTATGTCATCATACTGTCACGTTCGAGAGCGCCGCTGTCGTGAAAATCAAACACATACACAAAGATAGCTTTTTATAGCTTTATAAAATCTTCGCATTTTACATATATTTTACACAGAATTTCGAGTCCCCTTTCTATAGTCTATACTTACATACATATGTACACTGCCGTGACTGATATATACTATTATATACACCACTACTTAACACACTCCACTGTGTTGCAACACCGCTGCTGAATACAATTTTGAAATAATTTGCATTTTGTCATAAGTATATTGATCCTATTCTTCTGCATTATGATTGAAATTACTATAAATATGAAGTCGATTTATATATTGACATGATGATTCGTAGTTTACATTGCATGTTGTAAATGCTGTATGTATACTTAATACTACAAACGGACAACACATGGACATGTACAAAATCACGTGGAGTTGACACTTAAATACAAAGCACTATTTTTCAATAAAAACACATACCCGATTTTATCCTACATACAAACTAAACATTGTAGCCACATGACGCTGATGAGGATGCACATGTCACACAGTTCATCTTGGTCGATGACATGAATATCGCCTGCCAGCAAACTGATATCACATTGGAGGGCATACAATGATATCTACATCAAATTCATCGTGAACAATGTTTATCATTTATAGGATTTCAGCACAGAAGGAATTCTATGGATCGCGAGATAATGGTGGCTGGTCAGGGGGTGGGGCTGTACAGATTTTGTCAAAATATTCTCACGATAAATACTTAACGTCAGGGAAGATGGGATGCTACACTGAAGTATAGATACAGACCAGTGTACAGGACTTCGGGTGCATACGCTGGGTGCTTCTTGGACATGGCCTGTGGCGGGTGTGGACGCTGTAAAGAGACAGGGTGGGGTAGGGAGGGTCTGTGGGGATACATGACCAGGGGTGAAGGATGAAGTTTACGAAGGGTGTACCCGGGGCTAAGTTTACCGACGGTTGGTGATGTGTATGGTTCTAGGGATTGGCGTCTTATAACAACTCACCAATACTTCCAACAAAAGCATATAGTGAAGGACGTTCTAAAAACATTTGCACCAGCCCGGTCGATATCTACAATCTGATATCTTGATGTGGTTAAATTCGATTCATGTTATACGCTTGGGTGAATGAGCATTCTAGTACAGTGTTCAACACGACACCTGTGTGGGGTTGCCTAAAACTCTAAAATATACATAAAACAATTCTTATAAATAAATAAAGCATGACGTCTAATTTACATATCATATTGCAACTTTGTACAAACGTCTGGCAATGCCTTTGTCTTCATTGTCTTTGAACCCCACCATAGGGTCGATGTGTCAACTGTATTCATAACGTACAGGTATGTACATGCATCTTCTCCAGACAGTCAGAAATATTACTTCTGGTGCAAACACAAAAGCAGATCGTTCTAGGTATGGACTTCTAGGAAAATGTGACTTCTAGTCAATACGGAAACACTTTTGGGTTAAAATTAAATACATCTTGGTTTGTGTTGTTCAATTTCCTGTTTTGAGAATTGGTGCCGCGAAGGCTACCTCGCGAGTCGATGTACATAACAGTTGCATCGCCAACACAACCAACACAGATAACTGTCCATTTCAGCTTCGAGCATGAGTATGATATTGTTGCTCCCAAGGTGTCTGCTGGCGTCTTGAGATGTCCAAATATACCTTGATGTCATTGTTGACCTTGGCCTTTTTTGTGGTTCTGACCTTGAACTCAGTTACATATGTGTACATCCACATCTCGCTCACATTTTTTACATTTCACATAGCAGCACCAATGAAATTTGCACATGCACCGTTCTACAACAGTCTTTTTAATAGTGGTATAACCTCGACCACAGCACATCAGCTCACAGCCGTCTATAGCTTTTGAGGTCTTGTTGCAAATTCGCCCGTGGGTTCCAAGCGACCCAGTCCTTTTGTCAGGCTCACAAAAGTCCGGGGACCCGGCCATGTAAACCAGGTCCGCTTCTGTGTGTGGCTTGAACTGATCGTTGAGAGGTACGAGGTCACCCCTAGTTCCTGTCACCAAATGGCGAACCTCCGTGGCGCCGTCGAACTTCTCCTTGAGAATGCGTCCTACTTCGCGGAACGATGGCATCGCTTTCCAACAAGTTTTGGTTTCGCAGGATCCGGATACTCCGTGGCACTTGCATTCTACCTTCATAAAGTCTTCAATTGCCTGAAATAACAAGTTATATCATAAATAACCAGTAATACAATATCGTTAAATATATTTAAACATATCAATCCAGGTCATGACACAGACATAATGAACTATTTAACGATTTTCTGACATAATATACATCAACTAAGGTGATGGGGCCGATACTTCTTTCTTTATTCCTACGTTTCTATAATCATTTCTTTTCAAATTTGGCAGACAAAAGATTTCTAACTACGACTAAGTACACTGGCGACACGGCGGTCACCAATAACATTCCTTGTCAACATCAGATAGAGGAACGATAAATATTGACGACCATTCAGCCTCCTTTCGCGAGAGGCCATCTCATTAGGTATGTGTCCCTGCCTGAATTTTACACCCCAGACGAAGAATTATTGTCCCGGGAAGCAGTCCAGCCATGAAATGCATACCACGTCCGAGTTCAAATCTGTGTGGCCATTTGGCTTTACGAGCGACACCATTGATTACACCTTTCACGAAAGTCGTAAAGTCGAAATAACATCTCTGTCAAATTTGTACGTTCATCCTTTTTATGGGGTTTACCCCTGAGCTATCAGAAGGGACGAAAATGACTCCAGGAATTTGATGCAGTCAATGATATCCAAGCTATGGGACCGCACACGCGTTATGTTATGCCAACGGCTTCTATTCTCCCACTAGCCGACGGCCTGTCATTGTCCTTGCTTGACTAAATCGGGAATTTGTACTACACTATAATTCCTGGAAACCAAATTATACTTAAAGTATGTTATAAACATTACGCGAGTAAGTTAGTTTTTTGGTCGATTAACGACAAATATTAGTGTATCCAACTCCAGGCGACTTGAGTTGACTTAACAGCTGCTACAGTTTGTATTATATTGTCATGGTGTTGTTTGTGATTATTTAACTCCAGCATATTATTTGTGGTAAGGGTTGTATTTTATAGCAACGGGCAGTGTTAGGTAACAGACAGGTTTATCCTCTTATTTTAATATAAAAGTAATCTTATTTTGGAAAACGTTTATTGGTTTAAACGGTAAAATTGATTGGTTCTTAATTTCGTGTATATCTGTTTCAATTACCGTATACCTGACATATACGTGACCTCAGTGTCACTTTTACTGTATAGTCTCTTTTAAGTTACTTGTATGAAACATCTGGTCCTCAACACGTGGGAGTTGTACATTGCACGTGCACAATTTTTGATTGACAGGAAATGTCACTGTGATGTACATTTACAAGCCACAGATGTCCACTGTCTTATGTAACAGATGTGCCCACAAAAACAACTGTTTACAAAAGCTGTTGCTTAGATTGAGCACATATTCACAACTCTCAGTTGTCACATGTTGGTTTCACATGTGCACCTTAAATTTTGTAATCACTGAGAATGACACGTGTCAAATTTGAAAGTAACGACGTCTTAACTTCAAATTGTTGCATATACTCTCACTGGGATAAACAGATGAAATGTAAACAAAATATACCCAAGCAGCATTTGTCATGAAAACTTCATCTGTAGAACACATCCTTTTATCATAATCGTAAACGTGTTTACTCCGAAACCTGACCCGAGAGAGTTGAGGCAAACGAACAGACCAGTGTTTAATTGTCGAGAAATTGGCCGCTCTCTGTCGAATAATAAAACTGTCAGCAATTGGCAGCGGTGATAAAGTAATTGTCGTACTGATACAAACACTATCTCAACAGTAACGAGCTGCTTTTATCTCACGTTTTCGTAAAACTTTGAGTGTAGTGGCATGTTCGATTAGATTTCCCAAATCAGATAGGTCAACTGTGAACGGAGTTTGTGCTAAGCTTTCAGTGGATGGTAAATAACGACGTACATCACACTGGGTGGTGGTACGCATCAATATTGTTGGTATAATATCTCTTTGTTATAGCGACATGGTCGGCTGTCATAAAGATTTTCTTCTGTTGAATCCATTAAAGTGTAAAAATACGATTCGAGCCAAATAATAAGAACCATAGCTGGCTATAAAAAGTCAGACCTTGGGGAATAGCCGAAGGTTCAATCCTCGGTGACATTAATACTTCGCGAGCCTGTGATTGTTTATTACCGTGTCTGAAGTATGTGGTCCCCTAACAACCGATTCGGAGAAATTAACAACCGTGCAAAACATCATGTACACGACTGAAAACATAGCTATCATTGTCATCAGTGACATAATTTATGAGCGGAGATTCTTTATACTACTCTGGGATATAACCCACAGACAAAGGGATTATAGCTACCTGGGTCTAATTGCGCGTAATTAGAGTTAAAGAGGCAGTTTTACTACGTCGTTCCACGGTGATGAAAGTCATCGAGGCGATTGGTTAACAGTAACAGGTGGAACCAGTCAGTAATTATCATCAAATTACGTCACATCGTTACCTAGCAACCAGTCATGATGTCACATGGGTATCGTTATCATGTATTACTAATGCCATAGTGTTTGTATAACGGGTTCATCACTTTCAAATTCCTTGATGCATAGTAACCGAAGATTCTGGCTGACTCCATAATGGAATCCTGGCCTGGCTTTCGAATGATTAGACTGGGATTGATAGAACTGTTATGTTTACATATACGGTTTAATTTCTCTCTACATGAACATATCACCGTAGCGGAAGAATATGTGTCGATCTGTCACGCCTCCCCACCCTTGCTGGAGATATAAGTCCGCCATCGAGATCCGAAATAAGACCCTTGTACGAGGTTCTCCATTCACATGCTTCCTATACAACCAAACACCCATTATTTTCAGTATTTACAATATTTTTCTCGGCCACCGATAATGTTTGTACAACGGTTGTCATTGAGATTCATTGTGGAGATGTTTTATTTATTTCACGTTTGCTAATCCAAGGTCTTTTTTCAGTGCAGGAATTCATTCAGAGCTCGCCAATCTTTAGTGTAATGGTTTGAGAAACCACGTCTGTTTTGCAAGTATGTACATTTTGAGAGAGTTTAAACATTAAGGTTGACTTGACAAAGGCTTTTGTGTGTCACTCGGCGGAATGTGGAAGGATTTCAAAGAAAAAGAAACAACATTCGTTATGAATGTACGAATTTGATTGATTGAAATAGTTGGAGAAAATGGATGATGAAACATTGATGTATATAATCTATCATAAAGCGTGCACGTAATGTACCCAGTTTTTTCGATGAGTCAAAGAGTTATTCCATGAATGCATGCATAGCCAAACCAAATTTCTCAAAAATGTGTTCTTCTTATGCTTCGTTTTGTGATGTAAATTTTCAAATATTTCTTATTTTAAACAACTCATTTCGTTTTATATGGACTGGCATATACAAGCTGTACAATTTACCTTGGAATGTGGGGAGCGGTGAAGCCTCGTGAAATACCACAGGACCATGGTAAACGGCGCTTCTTTAAATGGAGATTTGCATTGACAAAAGCCTCTTACATCCTTCATGGGACATTGGACACAAGTCTGTAGTTTTTTCTCCAGGAATCGAGATTTAATCGTCCCTAATAACCGACAGATTTTCAATGCTTGGGCCACCTTTAGAACACCATAAAACTGTCACCCCGGCATAAAAAATCCAGTTTACGATGAGCCAGTGTGTAGTTGTCGAAATTCTTGCTGAGAGCTACCTAGAGTTTGGAAATGTTGCTTTGTCAGTCTTTTATGTGCTGGAACACCCAGACAATGTATCCCGCGTCCAAGATAGGAACAGACCAAAACACCATTAACCAAGTCAGCTGAAATAAGGTACACAGTTGAGATGCCAGGGGGATAATAAACCAGTCAACGAATTAATTAGTAGGTTTATACCCGAGTTCCTCTCTGAAGAGAAGATGACATAGGTAAAGAAAGAAAGCACACTTTGAGTGACTTACTGACATCATGATTTGCGGACTTAAAAATGTATCTGAATGTTCAAAGGAAAGATAATTTCGTCACGGTTTAGATAACGCACACGTCGTCAATTTTATATATGTTGAAAGAACAGCTGGATTATAACGGGATCGTTGGCACTGTATTGACTTAATTTTGACCTGGGTTTGACAGGCATTGTACCCGGGCTGACACACGTAGTGGTAACGTTGTATAGACATCAGATAATGTGAGTCTATCTTATCGAAATGTGATACTGTCAAGTCTACCTGTATTAATTTGATTAATCTGTCTCGACCGTTTTATTGCTCATGGAAATGGAAAGGCAAACAATCGCTACTGAACTCTTTAAAATGCCTCTTCAAGATTAAAGACGAATAGCAAGACAGGATCGACATTCCGACAAGACCATGTCTGACCTAATGTAATATTGACATAACACAGTAATGTTCTCTCATTATGCTATTCAAACTTTTGTATGTTCAGATTGCTCTCCCCCATCGGTTCCACCCCCACCATACACACACGCACACGCACACGCACACGCACACGCACACACACGCACGCACATATTATAGAGCTTAAACAGAGACAGAAGTTACATTTATACATGGAGTGGTGTTTGCAAAGGTTTGTGACATGCGTTTGAAATCTCAGAATAATTTCTTTTGGCGCCAGTCTATAGGCATAATGGAGCTCTACTTATAGCAAACGTCTACAGAGACGCTGTCCGCTAATATAAACTAAGCACCAGCGACCCGCGTTCCCCTGCGATGTCGGACGGCATGATCGGTGTATTCTTCACGTGCGTAATATGCTTTGTTTATTCTTTATATTGAATTGAGTCTTTGAAGAGAGTTTGAATATTTGCTTTGTAGCAGTGGCAATGCATTTTGAATGTATGTGTACTTGCCGAGGCTGGCGTTTAGTGCTAACACCACTATTCCTTCCCAGTGTTACGTCTACGTCAAGCGTGTCAGTTTTACATGTAGATATATACAAAAGTTGTGAATCTGGCATTAAACTAATTACGTTTATAGGGATGGTGTCGCTTAGGGAATAACCGGAACTGATCCAAAATAGCACTCGTCGTTACCAATAGCACAAATTGACATGAACACGTCAGGGAGGAACTAACCGCC